GACACTTATATTACCTTCAGAAGATGTTAATTTGGCTTGGAAATCTATCAGGTTTCCGGACGGTGGTTATTTAGATGAAAGAGTATATAAGTAAATACTAATTTTCTATCGAAGATATTTTCATTGATACTTCCCACAAATAATCACGGAGATTTAATGCGAGGGACGTAACTCTTGAAGTTAGACAAGGACCTCACTACCAGATTAATGTCGAGTCAGGTAAACACTAAAAATCGGAGTATATATATGTATTTTTTTTGTAAAGAATAATAATATTACATTTCCCTACATAACAAAAAAAAAACCCGTTAGTGGAAATACTCGGCGTGATGCATCTTAACATGTCGAAAATAGTTCACAGGTTAATGAGGAATGAACAAAATTCCAATGATTTGGAAAACACAGGTATAAAAATCGTTTTTTTTTAAAATTAAGTGTTATTTTGAGATAAAACTTACCCAATGCGGATATTGACATAACCACTAACAACTTTCTGGTAGTTATCGATCTACTTGGAAAACAAGAGAATACCGAGGCGTCAACAACATCATAATTCAAACTTAAAAGGGTACAAGGGAATATACCCAGGTGTTCCGGAAAGGTAAGCGGCTTTTGTTTATCGATGACACCCGCCATGTCAATATAAGTCGAATTCAAGTACTTTTATGTACTAATACCGATAACTCGGACAGCGACAATAGAACCACAAGCAATCTATTGAGCTAGGACGCTGTGTGTATGGAAATGTTGCTTTGTATTCAAAGGTTCGTGGGAAAGGAGAGGAACGTTTACTTGACGTTATACAGTCTCTTCAGAAGAGCCAGGATGAACACCCTGAACAAACGCTGACGTGTCACGGACAATGTTTTAAGGAAATGTGTGAATCAGCTTTGTCTTTGCTGAGGACCAGGGTAATGACCTATACGAATTTGCATGAAATAACAATAATATTGTATAATTGTTTCGTTATGCCATTAATATATTTAAAAAATCCCCATTGAACCTTCAAGAATGTTATTTAAAATTTACATTTAGACATATATATATTCGATGATGCAAAATTTACATGACATTTATAAAATTGAATCAAAATTATATTTCAGGATTGGACCGTAGCTTGGGAGAGGTTGGATGGTGAGAAATTATTTCTTAAATTACATGAAAGATATTTTTGTTAACGATACCTGTTTCGTTGACTATTCCCCAAATGGTACATTTTTAAAGGATGTAACGTAAAAAAATATATGGACAACATAATAATTGATGACATCGTATACCCTTATGCTTAGCGCACTATTTGTAATTCTAAAAACTTCTGAATGTTTAAAAGGTTGTTTTACATTGAGACTACTTTGCAATGTTCAATTTCTGCAAAATAATAATTATTATCATTAATTTGACAGAAATAGCTATAAAGAAAAAGATTCGAGCTGTTTTTTTTAATCAAAACATAAAAATAACCACATACCGCAAAAAGCTGTGTGCACTTTTGTATGCACAGCTTGGCAGATTTATGCAAAGTGCACAATTTTTTTTCGGTATATATCATTCCAGCAAAGAAATAATTATTGAAATGGTTATGGTTAATTTAATGATTTCTTGTTTGCTAAGAAGGTATTTTTCAAGCTATGGTTATTATTTGTGTAATATTTTTTATAAAGATGTGCCGGGTGAAATACATCAATTAGGAACGATCACTGAGGATATGTTTCTACGGTCACTGGAAACGAAACAAGTGCAGACAAAATACATTCGATTGATGATAGTAGGAGATGTAGGGGTTGGGAAAACAACACTATGTTTAAACCTGATTGACGAAAAAGAAGCTGTCTGCCCTACAGACGGAATAAACGTGTTTATTCAAAATTACCTAGTTGATATGAAAACAGGAAAATGGCGGAAACTCTCAAATGAAGATATACATAACCTTCCAACGAAGCTACTGTCTACAGTATGTAGAGCAGAAACAACGACCGAAAACAAAAACAACGCAGAAACAACGACCGGAAACAGAAACATCGCAAAAACAACAAGTGAAGAAGAGGAGATAGGAACTGAAATAGAGTACAGTGACTCACAAAAGCAAGGTAAACACGAGAACAGTATAGGCAATATAAAGGCCGAAATATCACTGTGACAGTTGCACATAATCAATTATTCATCAATACATTTCAATTATCATATTTTATTAGAAATAATTTCTTACGAGGTTTGTGTTGTGCAGTAAGCCATATCGTCCATTTAGATCTAATCAGTTTAAAAGAATGGACAACAAATCTTAGATGTCCAAAACATATATGGAATAGAATACATCCAAACGGGGAAGGCACCTCCAGCGAAAACAATATCTGTATATTAGTAGAATACATCGGAACATGGAAAGTACCTCTAGCGAAACAATATATCTGTAGCTTGCTAGATTACAGCGAAAAGGGGAAGGCACCTCCAGAGAAAACATTTCTGTAGATTGCTATGTATTGAATATGTGTTGTTGTGTATTTATATGACTGTATTTGATGTGATTTTCTTTGTGTTTTGTTGTTGACTCATAAGTACCCCTTTGTTGATTTTTAAAGAATCAGATGGTCCATCCCCTCCAGACAAAAGGCGAAGGTTAGATTCAGAGAAAATGAGAAATGCCCTAAAAGGAGTCAACACAAGTGGTGTCATTAAAGATGACGATGCTTTCCTTTCCGTTTGGGATTTTGCTGGTGACGAGATCTACGAGGCAACACATCATATTTTTATGAGCCCTGACGCTGTGTACATCATTGTGTTCAACTCGGCAGCATGCCTAGCAGAGGAAAGTCACCTGGGTATGCTAGAATTTAAACTCTGACTTTTAAATGAAGCATTTCTCATTTTATATATTATTTCAGCAATAATTATTCTTTTTCGAAAAGAAAATCCTTGCCTTCCAGAACTGTTATAAAAATAAATATGGTCAAATATAAAATAAGAAAATAAAAAAAATGAAATAATAATAATAAACAACATTGTCCTGAAGCAAACAATTGCAATAGGACCAAACGAAGACTCGTAACTCTACCACAAGAACTATTATAAAATATAATAAAGATAAAAAAAGGAAGGTTCAAAAAACTAAATTAAAAAATAAATACCAACATTGCCTGAAGGCAACAAGTGGCCTGACAAAAAATCAAATCCAGGACGCTCAGTTTAATTAATATGTCTCTAAGCAATTGAACTACCTGATCAATGGAAATGTCATTGCTCAGTCGCTGCACAGTAATAACTGAATCTAAATTAAGGGAAGGTAACTGTAGTATAAACAACCACGGTGAAAGTCGTTAGTAGTTTGCCTGCAGTGAAAAAGCAATCCTAAGCAGTTGAACTATCTATGTAAGGTCAGTTTGGAATCATCGTTACACCACATTGTAGAAAATGTTTCGATTTATTTTCACCGTGTCTCACTTGTTATCGGTGCTTGTTTTGACAATGACGTTTATGGTGTTTTGAAAATCAACACGTTTTCTAACTTATATCGACAGATAAGTTATATACCTGGCAGGAAGTCATCAGAACATATTCAACGAGCTCCGTTGAAAAAGAGGCCACCAACAAGACGCCCCCAATAATAATCGTTGGGACCCATTTGGACAAAATAGGCAGTTCAGTATGTGTTATATATGTAAGATGTAGCCTAACGCAATGACTCATTCTTCGTAGATCTCACCCATTCAATGTTTTTGTAAAGAGAAACTTCAGAATCCGATTTCCTTTTCTCTCAAATGAAAATCTTTATAACACAATATCGTTTTATTTTAGCACGTTGATGAACAAAAATTAACAGGTGACATAGAATGCTTGATTAATCTAAGGGTAGATGTCACTTTTAATTACTGGTTTATAAAAGGAACACTGAAGTAAGATAACAAAATAATCAAAACAAACAATCAACACCGCCTGATCTATAAACATTTCTCATACATTTTTATTCTAAATTGATACCAGCATTACTGTTTTTGAAGAACGTATATAGCTCTGTTTAGGTATTTCCAAATTTGCCTTCGGTAAGTAAGAATGGATTATATACATGTCCGAATAGCAGCACCAGCGATATTCTTGTTTGTGACGTTTCGATTATTACCGGGCCTTAAACAACGCTAACGACCCAGTTGGTTCGATCTCGTAGTCCTTTTATTTTAGGGCTTAACCCGAGCAAACAACCCTGAAAATACAAATACAAATAAACAGTTACACACGGTTACACACAG